TTGCACTTGACACCGCAAGCGCCGCAGTTTGACGAGTCGGACTGGACGTTGACGCACTTGCCGTCGCAGTACGTCTGCCCGGGGCCGCAGGGGTTCGTGGGGATGCACTTGCCGCCTTCACACTTCTCCCCGTCCTTGCACTTGACGCCGCAGGCGCCGCAGTTCAAGGCGTCTGTGTTCGTATTGACGCACTTGCCGCTGCACTGAGTCTGGCCGGGTCCGCATGGGTTCGTGGGCGTGCACTTGCCACCCTCGCACTTCTCACCATCTTTGCAGCGCACACCGCAAGCCCCACAGTTGTTAGAGTCGGTGCCCGTGCTCACGCAGCGGTCGCCACACTCCGTCTGGTCTGGCTGGCAGCCCAGCGTGCACTTCCCGCCCCGGCAGTTCCGCCCGGGTGGGCACACTTCTCCACACTTGCCGCAGTTCTGGTTGTTGTTGAAGACGTCGGTACACTTGCCGTCGCACCTGAGTTGTCCAGTGGGGCAGCCCGTTCCCTCGCAGCGAGAGTTGACACAGTGTTGTCCCACCTCACACTTCTTGCCGCACCCGCCGCAGTGCTCCTCATCATTGGTAGGGTTGACGCACGTGTCGCCGCACTGAATTTGGCCGTTAACACATCGGGCTTTGCACCTGCCGTTCTCGCAGATGAAACCGGCGGGGCACTGACGTCAGCCATGATATCCGCAGGACGTATCGAGCGATACTCACAACTGTTCCGCAGGCGCCGCAGTTGCTCGGGTCAGAGGCAGTGCTTACGCACTTGTCCCCGCAAAGGGTCTGGTCCGGGCGGCAAGGAGACAGACACTTCCCTCCCTCGCACTTCTCGCCGCTCTTGCACTTGGTGCCACAGGCGCCACAGTTTGAAGTATCGCTGCTGGTGTTGACGCATTTGCCGTTGCATAGCGTTTCACCGGGCTTGCACGGGTTGGTCGGCGTGCATTTGCCTCCCACGCACTTTTCCCCGTCCTTGCACTTGATGCCGCAGGCCCCACAGTTTGAGGCGTCCGAGGAGGAATCAACACACTTGCCGTTGCAGTCGATTTGAGGAGGCGTGCAGACAGGCCCCGTGGGCTCACACTTGCCACCGTTGCACTTCTCGCCGTCCTTGCACTTGGCGTTGCACGCCCCGCAGTTTGCAGTGTCCGTGGAAACATTGACGCACTTGCCGTTGCACAGCGTCTCACCTGGTTTGCAAGGATTGACAGGGGTGCACTTCCCACTCTCGCACCTCTCGCCATCTTTGCACTTGATACCACAAGCGCCACAGTTTGAGGCGTCCGAGGAGGAGTCAATGCACTTGCCGTTGCAATCGATCTGAGGAGGTTTGCAGACGGGCCCCGTGGGCTCGCATTTGCCGCCGTTGCACTTCTCGCCGTCCTTGCACTTCGCGCCACAAGCGCCACAGTTGGACGAGTCGCTTGACGTGTC